AGCTGGTACTTGGCTGCTGGAGGGCCCATGGTATTCCACAGAGTCCACGTCATTGTGTACGAAGGGGCTGCCCCTGGCTGCGCGTCCAGAGGAGTTGCGCAAACATGAGCGGGTAGCGCGTGGGCTGGGGCGGAAAGGACGGGTGTTAGCATGGGGAGCAACCCAGCCGGTCCCCGTGGACACCGACGCCCGATGCCGGGTCCGTTGTTGAACGCGGAGCGAATGCCGGGGACCCCGGAAAGGCAGAGCCCACCGACCCACCTTGGCGCGCTGGAGGACAGCGCGGGTGGTATGAGCCCATCGTGCTCGACAGGTGTCCGTTTGAAGGGAGCAGCCAACAGGGTTTCAGGGTGGCGGGTCGTTCTGCGGGATGCCGGCGCCCACCGTCAGGACGCTTCGGCTGACCCAGGAAGCCCGTCGATGGCCCCCACCAGATCTCCCCCCCGCAGCCCCTTGAGGATGGAGCTCCCAGGACAGGAGGCTTGTGAGGCGGGGAAGATCTTCTTGAGGACGTCCAGCGGAGCGCCGATTGGCCCGCAGGCTGAAGGGCAGGTTAGACCCTGGAGGCCCGCGAGGCCCTGTCAATGATACACTCCTGCTCGTCGCGGAGGCCCTTGACGCGGAAGCTTGTGAGGACTCTCGGTCTTCACTCTTTGCCAGCGCTTGCCGGCTTTAGAGAGGCCCTGGGCAGCTGCTCTCCTGCCGGTTGCAAGGGCGTGCTCTGGTTGCCTCACGGGGTGTAGGCAGTGGAGTTCCGGTTGGAGGCGCCTTGCAGGGGAGCTGACAGCCTCCTGCTCCTGGCTCCTTCTCACTGGAGCTCCCCCGTTCTCTCGCTCGCGGACCGCCTCCCATCCAGTAGCGCCTCATTCGTTGGCTCATGCAACAGCATCAGAACAAAGAGTCAGAAGACAAGTTTGGGCCAGGGGGTTTTTTTTGTGTCAATAAGAGTACCAGCTGGCATTTATCTGACTTCAGAACATTTATTTCTGGGCACCTCTAAGTCCAAAAAGCTCTCCTCAAGGAGGAAACTTGACACAGCCAATGACTGGCTTGCTCCAAACAGAGAGCTGATGAGGATGTTTTTCACGCCCCCCTCCCTAAAAGCGTGTTAACACAAAGTGCTGACTGTGTGTCAGTGAGGAACTACCGTCCGATGCCTTTTGACCCCATTTTGTGAACCCTGATCGCGTGTTGCTCGGTAACATTTCATCTGAACTTGACCTCCGTTCGAGAGAAATGGCGATTA